AATTTTCCCTCTACTCTTCTGAGTTCTTAGCTGAGACCCCTGTGGTAAAAGACAGATTAGCAGGAGAAAAAACAAACAAGTTTATTAACATATATAACTCATGTATGCATGGGAGATACCCAGGGAAAAATGGATAGCTCTTTGAGGTGGCTTGGAATTCAGGATTCATTGTAAGAGGGAAAAGGGAGGGGGAAGAAGGCTTTTAAGTGGGGAGTGAGTGATTTTTAGGAAAAGATGAATGATCCCTTAGAAGAGTTGTGATAGTTTGTGACCAGGTTTGTCTGGGTGTCACCTTCTAGTTTCCTTTCCTGTGATGAGTTACTCTTTCCTGGTTGATGAAACTTCTGGAGAGATGGTTTATAATAATTGAGTTTCTCTTGAAGGATTTGTCCTTAGTCAGATAAGGTGTTGTTTTAGGACAATAGTAGAATATGTATCTACCATTATGGTATCATACTGAGTGTTTTCACTGCCCTAAAAATCCTGTGCTCCACTTATTCATCTCTCCCTGCCTCCATTTTCCCCCTGGCAAACACTGATCTTTTTACTGCCTCCATAATTTTGCCTTTTCCAGAGTGTTGTATAGTTGGAACCTTACAGTATGTAGGCTCTTCAGATTGGCTTCTTTCACTAAATAATATGTATTTGAGATTCCTCCACATCTTTTCATGGCTCAATAGCTCATTAAAAAAAAAAATTTATGTTTATTTATTTTTGAGAGAGGGAGAGTGCGAGTGAGGGGAGGAGCAGAGAGAGAGGGAGACAGAATCTGAGGCAGGCTCCAGGCTCTGAGCTGTCAGCACAGAGCCTGATGTGGGGCTCGAACTCACAAACCACGAGATCATGACCTGAGCCAAAGTCAGACGCTCAACCAACTGAGCCACTCAGGTACCGCTGTAGCTCATTTCTTGTTGGTGCTGAAGAATATTCTGTTGTCTGGGTGTATCACCATTTATCCATTTGCCTACTGTAGGATATCTCGATTGCTTTTAAGGTTTGGCAATTAGGAATAAAGTCCCTATAAACATCCGTGTGCAGGGTTTTATGTGGACATAAGTTTTCAGCTCCTGTGGGTGAATACCAAGGAGGGATTCCTGGATGATAAGAGATGTTTAGTAAGAATCTGCCAAGCTGTCCTCCCAAGTGTTGCATCCCCACCAGCAGCGAGTGAGAGTTCCTGTTACTCCACATCCTCACCACTATTTGGGATCGACAGTGTTGGGGTTTGAGGCTATTCTAGTAGTTGAGTAGTGGTATCTCATTGCTTTTCTTTTTTAATGTTTATTTATTTATTTTGAGGGAGAGGGAGAAAGAGAGGCGAGTGGGGGAGGGGCAGAGAGGGAGGGAGATAGAGAATCCCAAGCAGGCTCCATGCTGTCAGTGCAGAGCCTGATGCAAGGGTTCATCCCACAAACCACAGCATCATGACCCGAGCCGAAATCAAGAGTCACATGCTTAATTAACCATGTTAGTGGACTGAGCCGTCCAGGCACCCCTCTCATTGTTGTTTTAATTTGCATTTCCCTGATGACATACGACGTGCAGCACCTTTTCATGTGCTTCTTTGTCTTCTTCCCGGGTGAGGTGCATTTTAGAAAACAGTCCTTTATCAGGTGTGTCTTTTGGAAATATTTTCTCCCAGTCTGTGGCTTGTCTTCTCGTCTTCTTGACAGTGTCTTTCACAGAGTAGGAAATTTTAATGAAATCCAGTTTATGAATTCTTTCTGTTATGGTTTGCATCTTTGGTGTTGTCTCCAAAAAGTCACGGCCATACCCAAGGTCATCTAGGTTTTCTCCCTTGTTGTCTTCTGGGAGTTTAAAGGTTTTGCATTTTACATTTAAGTCTGTGATCCATTTTGAGTCACTTTTTGTGAGGGCGTAAAGTCTGTGCCTGGATTCTTTTTTTGCATGTGGATGTCCAGTTGTTCTGGCACCCCTTGTGAAAAAGCTGTCTTTGCCCCACTGTATTGCCTTTGCTTCTTTGTCAAAGATCAGTCAACTGTATTTATGCGTGTCTATTTTGGGGCTCTCTGTTCTGTTCCACTTATCTGTCTCTTCTTTCACAACTACTACACCATCCTGATTTTATAGCTTTAGAGTGAGTCTTGAAGTAGGGTTGTGTCAATCCTCCAGTTTTGTTCTACTCCTTCAACATTGTGTTGGCTATTCTGGGTCTTTGGGTCCTCAGTTTTTAAGAGTCTAAAGTGGGGGGGGGCGGGAAGGGAGGGTCCTGAGACCAAAAAGTTTGAGAACTGCTATTGTAGAGAAAGATGGACACACAGAAGAGTGTATTAAATTTTTTGTTAGGAAAGAGGATAGAATGTGGTGGAAGGGAACTCAGACTGAACTCAGACTACATCTTAACTGCCCTCTTTTGGGAGCTGAGCAAGCCCGTTGCTTTAGGGTACATCTCTGAGAGTCCAAATTTAGATGCTTTGTGACACAGACATGAGCCTGGTCTTAGGAGAGAATCCTAGGTGGGCGTGGGACATGAGTTGTTGTCTTCCCTTGGGACCAGAGAACTCAGGGCAGATTAGGGAGGTTGGGAGTTGGTTTTTCCATTTCTCTGAGAGAAAAGTGAATCTTGGGGATTAGGGTTGTGCATGTAAATCAAGTACTATGCCTTTTCACCTTCATAATTAAGGCTTGTGAAATCTCAAGAGTAAGCCCTGTTAAAAGGGGAACAATCACATCTTGTGCTGTTTACCTACCACCCTTGAAGTTCTGCAGGAAACGTAGAGAGGAAAAGGTGGGGCTTTGGTCTCAAACCCCAGGATTAAAATAAAAAAAAAACCCTGTTCTGCTGAGCTGGGCTCCTCCAAAGAGAAAGCTTTATTTGCTGAAAGAGGCCAGTTGCTTACTGTGCTCCATTCATGGCGGCCACACCCCATATCAGCCCGCTCCAGCCGGGGGAGAGGCCCGCAGCTGACTCAAGCCGAGCTGGGTGTTGGACGGCACCCATCTCCCACCCGCACAGTCAGGCCGCGCAGCTGCTCTCAGGCCCAGTTGACTTCATCAGCTGCAGGGAAATCTTGAGGGATCTCAAGAGCAAGCCAAAGCAAGCAAGCCTGAAGGCCAAGCCTTCCTGTTCCCTAGCCATGGGGAAGGCTGTCACCTCCAGGGACCACCCTCAATTGCCTCCCATCCTTTAGCCAACTGCCAGACACCCTGGAAGCACCACTCCCCACCCTGTGCCAAAAGTGACAGTATTCTTACTCCAGGGGAGGCAAGGCTGTTGTTAACCTGGGGACCACTGGTGGGTTCAGAGGGTCCTTAAAGGTCCCGAGACCAGGTATGTGTGCTCTTTTCTGGGGGGAAGGTCTAGAGTTTTCATCAGATTTCAAAAGTAGAGAAAATCCTTATAAAAAGTTAAAAGGATCACTATGCTAGAGAGCAACACTAGTTATAACTGTCCTGCTGAAGAGTTTCAAAGGGTCCTTCCAATGATAATAATTCAACAAAGAGTTGAGTTCTCCATGCCTGGCTCAGTGCTAAAGGCTGGAGACACAACAATGAGTAAGATCGGATGTGACCTATGTGTCATTGAAGGGCACAGATATAAATGAAATACACAAATGCATGTCTAATTCATTTACTTGTTTATTTATTAATTTATTATTTTAAAAAGTTTATTTATTTTGAGAAAGAGAGAGAGAGTGCAAGCAGGGGAGGGGCAGAGAGAGAGGGAGAGGGAGAGAGAGAGAGAGAGAGAGAGAGAGAGAGAATATCCAAGCAGGCTCCACACCTGTCAGTGCAGAGCCCCATGCGGGGCTTACAGCCACAAGCCATGAGATCATGACCTTAGCCAAAATCAAGAGTCAGACGCTTAACCAACTGAGCCACCCAGGTGACCTGCATGTCTAATTTAAAATCAAATGCGGTTCTGAATTTCAGAACTTGATTCTATGACAGATAGAACAGTGGATGTTTAGTTTTTGTTTTTGAATGTTTATTTCTGAAGAGGTAATATACTCATGTTCAAAAATTCAAAAGAATTATACAATGAAACACACTCACCCCTGGCCACCCACCTACCATTATTCCCTAGCCTCTCCCTGGAGGCCATGCATGTTTTATAGACTGATGAGTGGGTGTTCTGCTGTTAGACGGAGGGAGGGGAGAGGAGGGCAGAAAGGAGAAAACTTACCTGGGGATATGATGCTTGAAGTTTGAAACATGAATGTGAAGGGAAGAAGACTGCAAAGGGTTAGGGGAAGCATTTAGATAGAGGCAATAGCTTATGCAAAGGCCCTGTAGCAGGAGACAGCTTGATGTATTAGAAAAATGAAAAGAAAGCCTATATGGCTGGAGTGCAGAAAGCAAGGGGAGGAGAGGCCTGGGATGATGCTGGGTGGGGAGCATGCAGTCTTGTAGCTCTCTTAGCATTGTGGACTTTCCCCTAAGATCCTGGGAAGCCACTGAATGATGAGAGGAGAGAACCTTCAATCATACTTGCATTTTGAAAATGCTATTCTGGCTATAGTATGGAGAATGGATTGGACGAGAGAGCAGTTAATGTGCTTATTTAGTGCAGGTGAGAAATGATGTGGCTACATATATTGCAAGAAATGTATTGGTATAAAAGGTTCCTGCTTCTGAAAAATGTTGACAAAGTATTTGTTTCAATTCTCTCAACTGAGCGGAAGAAAATTCCATAATAAGTTTGCTTAGAACACAGTTATTTGGTCCGAGCATGTGGCCAAACTGACAGGATAATTTAACATCTGGAAAAGGTTGATGGACGAGGGGCTGAAGTCTCATAAAATCTTGCTACAAGTCTTTTGGTCCAGCCTCCCTCCTGACCACCCCCGGAGACATCTCCCCTGTGCAGGAGCCCTCCAGTGGCTGGAGGTCATCACTGTTGCTACAAAGTCATAACAGAATGACCATGCGGGTGACAGTGCACTAGTTAGGAAACCAACCACTACAACACCTGATGGCTGTAGTTGTTTTGGTATTTGCACACTTAACTTTCCTTCTCTCGACCCCCCTCCCCCAGAATGGCTTATTCTGAGGAGCAAGGAGGGGTGCCCTGTGGTTTCATCCGCCAGAATTCCGGTAACTCCATTTCCCTGGACTTTGAGCCCAACACGGAGTACCGGTTTGTGGAACAGCTGGAAGAACGTTACAAATGTGCCTTCTGCCACTCAGTGCTTCACAACCCGCACCAGACGGGGTGCGGGCACCGCTTCTGTCAGAACTGCATCCTGTCCCTGAGGTGAGTGGGCAGGGCCTGCAGCTCTGGCCAGACCAGGCGTGGCTGTTCCTGGGATGGAAGTGTCGAACGTGGCCACTCGGCTGTCATTGTGGTTCTTGGAATTGCTGTGGTTGGCCGCAGAACCGCGAACGCGAGGAGGTGCTCTCCCAGGGGCTCTCTCTGAGAGCCTGAGGAATAACCTTTCTTTTTGGCCTCTCACTTATTGATAGTCACCTTTTTTTTTCCCTTTAAAAAAAAAAATTCAATTCCTAGTAACTTCTTTTGAATCCATGTTTAATATCTAATATTGTACAGGTTGGAGAGTTCTATCTAGAATATGGACATTTATAAAATCAATTTCAAAATTTGTAATTTTTCTATATTTCAGACGAAAGTACATAAATGGTACTGTAGGGCTTAGAGAGGAAATATATTTCTCCTGTATATTTGAGAAAATGTGAAGTCTTTTTCAAGAAAATCTAAGAAACATTATAATCCTACCCGTGAGGAAAGAGGGCCTCATTTACTCTTTCATGCAGTGATTTACTGGTAACTAGGGATTTCCAGATTGGATCGCTGTAGTAATTTATCTATGCTGGTAGCTCTAAAAGTAAGCCTTGGGATCCATATTTGTTTTATGTTCTGCTTAAATCAGCAAGAATAATAAGTCTGATGGTGTGAAACAATAATAAAAAATGAACGATAAGTAAAAAGATAAAAAAATTCAAGCATAATTAATGTACAGTGTTCTGTTAGTTTCAGGTGTATAATGTAATGATTCAACAATCCTCTACATTACTCAGGGCTCATGATAGTCACCTTTTCTTGACATTCAGACCACATGCGAGGCAAACCTTGATGCACAGTCTGTGTTGGGAAGGACCTGCATCTCACAGGGGTCTGTGTAGTTGTTGCTCCGACTTTTCCTTGCCTTAAGGCAGAGGTGGTGTCGCATCCAGAATGGACCTCTCTGCAATGGATGCTGTCCACTTAGGGCAGTGGGAAAACCTGGGTCCTACCATTTTGAGGGAGAAGACCAGGGAAGCTATGGAAGCAGGCTTTGGGGTTTTTTTTAGGGCACTAAGTAAGTTGTTTCCTACCAAGCTTGGAAAGAGGGTTATTACAGCACATTCTCGTTTATTCATGGGTTTGTCTATTCAGCACCTGTGTGTTCCAGGCACCTTGCTAAACTAAGCTTCAGTGTACAGAGAGGAAGAGCTGGAGGTCAGTGTGGAACAGGACCCACTCTCTGCCCTCCAGAACGCTCCAGTCTAGTGAAGAGACAGGTTGTGGCACAGTGTGATAAGCAAAAGACTGCCGTGGGAGCACCGGCAGGGGACATTTAACTCTGTCTGGGGGATTGACTATTTGACCTGCATCTTGGAGAATGAATGGGAGTTTTTTGGCAGACTGGGAAGGTGCTGAAACTGCAGTGGGAGGTGGGGGAAAGACACAACCCTTCTTGGGAGGGAGCAGCAGGAGGAAAGATAGGGCCAGGTCTGTTCAGGGGAGCTGAAAGGGGTCAAGCATGGCTGGAGTGCTGGGGCTGCTCTTGGAAGAGCGTTTGAGGTCAACTCTTAATTCCAGCTCTATTTTTATTTTTCTCTCCAGAGAATTAAATGCAGTCCCACTCTGCCCTGTAGATAAGGAGGTTATCAAATCTCAGGAGGTAAGAAAATCACCGCTTTGGTTTAGCAGCTCTCTGAGTGATGGAAAAACCAGTGTCCTGGGTTGAACTGGATAGAGGTTGGAGCAGTAGAGCGGGAGAGGGGGGCCTTTCTTAGAGTCCACTTTCCTCTGGTGTGGGGTCAGGCCAAACCCTACTCCTACCACTGTTTCAGAGGCTTGTTTGGGTCTTTATTGATGCCTCTCCCCCTGCCCCCAACCAAATTTCTACTCTGCTCCCTCCTTACCCCCTTCCAACACCAGCTCCAGGTACATTAAGTTGCTTGGAGAAATTAAACATCCTGTTTCTTGGAATTCACTTTCTCCTCTAGTTAATTTCTAAAACTTCCTTTTATTATTATGTCTAACAATAGCTTTATTGAAGTATAATTCATATGCCATAAAATTTACCTTTAAAGTATATGTGTTTCTTGGAAAATAATAACATAAAGTAAAGTGTACATGTTTCTTGGGTGTATACTTCGGAGTGGAATTGCTGGGTCGTATGGTAATTTTGTTTAGGGCCATAATGGTAACTTTATGTGTAACATTCTGAGGAGCTTCTTCAGACGATTTTTCAAAGCAACTGCACCATTTTACCTTCCTACCAGCAGACTGTGAGAGTTCTAATGTCTCTAGATCCTTGCCGAAAGTTGTTAATGGCCATCATTTTGATTACAGTCTTTCTAGTGGGTACCTGTTTTGCTTTGCATTTCTCTAATGACTAATGATATTAAGCATCTTTTCATGTTTTTGTCTATTTGTGTATCTTCTGGGAGAAGTGCCTTCTCAATTTCTTTGCCCATTTTTTAGTGGATTATTGGTCTTTTATTGTCGAGTTCTAGGAGTTCTTTATATATTCTGGATACAAGGCTCCTATCGAATGTATGATTTGCAAATATTCTCCCATTCTGTGAGCTGTCTTTTCACTCTTGGTGGTATCCTTTGAAGCATGAAAGCTTTTCATTTTGATGAGGTCTTACTTGTCTTTTGTTTGTTTTGGTCACTTGTTCTTTTAGTTGCATCTAAGAAACCATTATCTAACCCCTGATCATGAAGATTTTCTACCTTAAAACTTCCTTTTAAGGTGGCTCAGTCAGTTGAGCATCTGACTTTGGCTCAGGTCATGATCTCACAGTCTGTGAGTTCGAGCCCCACATCGGGCTCTGTGCTGACAGCTCAGAGCCTGGAGCTGCTTCAGATTCTGTCTCCCTCTCTCTCTGCCCCTCCCCCGCTTGTGCACGTGCTCTCTCTCTCTCTCTCTCTCCCTCTCCCTCTCAAAAATAAATAAACATTAAAAAATTTAAAAAAAAACTTCTTTTAAGCTCAGTTTTCTTCCTCTACAATTCTGTTACAGGACGTTCAAGCATCACCTCCTCCAGGAAGCTCCCTGAGCACTGGTCTAATGTACATGCTCCTTGTCTATGCTCTTATGTTGTGTTTTCCAAATGCTAGTAGAGGACAGTGCCGTGCTTGTGTTTGCCTCACGCACTAGACCAGGGGTTGACATACTACAACATGAGATATGTTGAGGCAAATCCAGCCTTCCACCTGTTTTTGTCTGGCCCATGAGCTGAGAATGGTTTTCACATAAATCATTGAAAAAAATCCAAACAAGCGTACACAGGAACTCTGTGCTACTTTTGCACATCTCATGAGTGTGTAAACTATTTCAAAACAAAAAAATATTTCATTAAAAAATTTTTTTAATGTTTATCTATTTTTGAGAGAGAGAGAGAGAGACAGAGACAGAGACAGAGAGAGTGAGAGTTTGAGCGGGGAAGGGACAGAGAGAGGGAGACACAGAATCTGAAGCAGGCTCCAGGCTCAGACCTGTCAGCACAGAGCCCGACATGGGGCTCAAACTCACAAACCGCGAGATCATGACCTGAGCCAACGTCGGATGCTTAACCGACTGAGCCACCCAGAAACCCCAACAAAAAATTTATTTTAAAAGAATAACGTTTTGTGACATGTGAAAATTACATGAAATTTACATTTCAGTGTCCATAAATAATGTTTTATTGGAACACAGCCAAGCTCATCCATTTAAGTATTGTATGCAGCAGAGTTGAATAGTTGCAAAAGAAAACATTGCATTGTGGCCTGCATAGCTGAAAATACTATCTGATCCTTTATGGAGAAAGTTTGCCAACCCCTGGTGTGTGCTGAAATAGCAAGTCCTCACAGCTTCAGTGACAGTACCTGATGACTAATACAAACTTTTATACTGTGACAGGAAGCTGAAAGCGTCACCCTCATCCACAGCCCACCTTCTGACCTTTGAGCATATGAGGTCAAGTGCACCATGAGATTCTCTTGCAGCCTACTGTGCTGAGCATTGAATTTCCTGGCCTGTATGTTCAGTGGCCTGTTGGAAATACGTATCTGAGAAAGCCTTTTCTTTTATGGTGGCGAATCTGATCTTTCCATTCCAACCACTGTCTGGAAGTTTCCACCTGACTTTTTTTTTTTTTTAATGTTTATTTATTTTTGAGAGAGAGAGAGAGAGACAGAGTGTGAGCTGGGGAGGGGCAGAGAGGAGAGGGAGACACAGAATCTGAAGCAGGCTCCAGGCTCCCAGCTGTTAGCACAGAACCCAACATGGGGCTTGAACCCATGAACAGTGAGATCATAACCTGAGCCAAAGTTGGATGCTTAACTGACTGAGCCCCCCCAGGCGCCCCTCCACCTGACTTTTGAGATGTATCTGAAGACCAAATTAATAATAGTTTCATTCACATTGCTCTGAAGCTTTGGAGTGTATGAGACCTGTTGTGTTTCTCTTTTAGGTGTTTAAAGACAATTGCTGCAAAAGAGAAGTCCTGAACTTATATGTGTATTGCAAAAATGCTCCTTCATGTAATGCCAAGATTATTCTGGGGCGATACCAGGTGGGTGTTACTCATGAGCAATATTTGCTTTGGCTATCTTTCCAGTGGCATGTATTGAACACCTTTATATGACAGTTACTGGGCAAAGCATGATAGGGGGTTCATTGGGTTGCCCTCAGAGAATTCCTGTCTAGCAATACAGTTGGCTACAGTGCAGCACTCCAAGAGCTAAGTGTGGGTGAAGAGGTCCATCTCATGGAATGCACGGAGGGCATACTATATGGGCTAGACCTACACTGTGGGTTAGGGGTCATTGACCCAAAAGAGAAGCTGTGGGACATGCTGAGCAAAAGGACATGCCAGTTCTGGGGAACTGTAAAAGATTTGGGGTCCCCAGGGTGGGAGCCAGGGCAGTCTGCACAAAGACACGTTTACAAGGGTCCCTGCCCCAAAGCATTGGCAGATGCTGGTGGGTGTTTCCAGCAGCTGTGGGCCCCAGCCCGTTGGTTTATGATCCAAGGCATATAACATAGAGCAGAGCAGAACTAGGATGTGATTTAAAGGGGAAGCGTTGGTGTGAGCTGCAAACACACAAGATGTAGCTGCAAACACACAAACAGTTTCTCTCACATGGAACTGCCCTACCTGGTTCTTCCAGCCAGCTGGGGAAGCTCGATAAATGGGAAGCTGGAAATGTGGCTGTGCCACGGCAGGCCCGTATCAGGTTTGATCACACTGTGCAGGAATAAGAAGCGGGCATCTCTAGCTTCCAGAGAATTGCTTGGGAGCTGCTGAAATTTTGCTCTCCCACCCACATCTTTTGGAACACATTTCAGGTGATTCAGCCTTTTCTCCACCTTGCCTCCGAACCCCCCGGGCACTGAGCTTATAAATGAGTAAATGATTTCCTTGTTAACCACAGGATTTCTTTGGAGGTTCACTGAACTTCTCCTGGGTTGATAGGCCCTGGAGCAAGGCCTCTTTTCCAGCTTTGTTGTCACTAAGGCTAAAAAGGAAATGAGGCTCAAATGGACCATCCATCCATCAGCTTTTGTGACCAGATCCACACTTTCTAGAGAAGAGTGGCTGGTGTCTTTTCACCTGTTTCTTTTGTATTTCCCCTCATTCCTGCCTCCCCCCACCACCACCCTGGCTTCCAAAGGCGAGGTGAAGGTTCTCAGGCAGGAGAATCCTGATGGATGTTCACTATTTTGGTGAGAGCGGAGGGGTAGCAGCAGTGAATTTTGGAGAAGATACGATTTCACCGGTCACTATTTGTTTCTTATTACTAAAGGTAGAGGAGAGTAGCTGTAATATTCATTTACCTCCTGTAGAAAAACTGGTTGGTTTTTCTCCTTTAGGAAGGGGGTCAGCAAAGTGTTTCTGTCAAAAGCCAGTCGGTAGATTTTTTAGGCTTTGCAGGCCATACAATCTGTGTATCAGCCACTCACCTCTTCCATTTCAGATGGAAAGCAGCCTCTGGCTGTATGTGAACAAATAAGTATGGCTGTTCTCCAGAAAAACTTTATTTACAAAAGCAAGTAACAGGCCAGATTTGGCCCACAGGCCAGAGCTTGCCAACAGTATTGTAAGGGATCTTGCTGGGAATAACATCAATAGGGTTTTGATAACTTGTTAGCATCACAATAACTTGCAGTGATCCAAAGCGTTTATTAAGATATATCTCCTGCTGGGGGCGCCTGGATGGCTAAGTGTGTTAAGTGTCCAACTATGGCTCAGGTCATGATCTTACAGTTCCTGAGTTTGAGCCCCATGTCAGGGTCAGCTCAGATCCTGCTTCAGATCCTCTGTTTCGCTGTCTGTCTGCCCCTCCCCTACTAGCTCCCTTTTCCTTCCTCACTCTCAAAAATAAATAAACATTCAAAAAGAAAAAAAAAAGATATACCACCTGCTTTTCAAAATTGATACCATAAAGAATACTGGAACGAACACTGTCCATGTTATTGTTGTCTCGTATTCTGATTAAGAACATTTCCTAACTAACAAGCTTGACCACTCTCAGCTTCTCTTGGGCCTGTGATTCTGGTTTTGTTTTTTTTCCCCATCTGCTTTTTTTGACCACTCTGGAACAGCTCTCTCTCCCTCCCCTTTCTTCCTTTAATCCTTTTCCTTCCTTCATGTACTTAGGATATGCCCCACTCTTATTTGCTCTTTCCCTCCGTCCCAGCTTTTACTATCTGCCATGCAGAGATTAGTACTTGGTGCTGGCAGTGGGGATGGAGGGTGCACAGAAGAAATTAAAAATGCCCTTGCAGGACTGGTAAATTACTCAGCAAGCCTAAGGAAAGTGTTTAGGAACTACCCTGCAAATTCGGGCATGTTACTAGATGATCTGAAATAGATCATCTGAAATAGATCAGCTTGCTTCCTTCTTCAGCCATCTTCCCTGTCCTCCTAACTCCTACCAAACAAGGCTAGCCATCACAGCCTCCTTCTGGGCAGCCCCATCTGTGCCCTCTCCTCTGCAGCCCTGTCTGCCCAGCTGCCCCCAGTGTCCTCCCTCCCTCTCTAGGCTTCCAGCTGGCTCCCCTCCCGCCGCCCTGGTCAGCGGGGCCCACTGGCCTGTGTTATCTGTTGCAGGACCACCTCCAGCAATGCCCGTTTCAAGCCGTGCAGTGTTCTAATGAGAACTGTCAGAAGCCAGTCCTTCGGAAAGATCTGAAAGAACATTTGAGCGCATATTGCCAGTTTCGAGAGGAAAAATGCCTTTATTGCAAAAAAGATGTGGTAGTAATCAATCTACAGGTAAAGAAAGAAAGAGAAAGAAAGAGACAGAGGAAGAAAGAGAGAAAGAGAAAGGAAGGAAGAAAGGAAGAAAAGAAAGAAAGAAAGAAAGAAAGAAAGAAAGAAAGAAAGAAAGAAAGAAAAGAAAGAAAAAGAAAGAAAGGGAAAGAAAGAAAGATTGTCTTTTATGGGACTAAATTCTACCTGAGTGGTCAAAGTGAATTTATTTTTGTACAGAAATAGGTCCAAAGAATTATCTTAGAGTTCTGTAAAAAGCCGAAAACCTTGCTGGTAGGACACTATTCATTTATCATTGGTGAAAGCACTGTTTGAACACCTACTAAGTGTGATTGTGCAAGGAGCAGTGCTAGGTGCTGGGTCATGAGGAGGTGACGATATTGTGTCCTCAGGGTGCTTCAGTCCATCTGGAGTGGCAGGACGTAGGCAGAAAAAGAGAGTGTGCTGTACTTTTCACATGTACCAGAGGAGCCATACTGATGACTCACAAAGTTTGCCCTCAGTGAGTCCTGCGCCCTCTGACCTTTTGGAATAATTGGAAAATTGAATTAATTTACGTGAAGAAAGCAGCCATCTTTATTTAGTCCTTTTTGGAACTAGGCTGTACCTTCCTGTAGAGGGCAAGCCACATAACACAGATCCCCAGAGACCTATGCATAAACCCTGTGAGGCCATAGTAGGGAACCCTGGGAAGCACAGTTTGGCTCTGTTTCATCACACTTTCTCTGTTTCAGAATCATGAGGAAAACTTGTGTCCTGAGTACCCAGTATCTTGTCCTAACAAGTGTTTGCAGATGATTCCAAGATCTGAGGTAACTGTAAATGATTCTCTTAGATTTTACGTAAGGTAAAGTTTTAGTAACCAATGTGGTATGTGTTTGATAAAATCCCACAGGCAGAAGCCCAAGGTTTAAATAACCCCACGACAGCCGTATCTCTGTGTTCCCTTCCCTTTTCCCTGAGAATTCTTCTCGGTTTTTACCACAGCTCTCCTTCTGCCAGGCCTCAGCATGGCTTTTCCCGTTCTGTTCCCTCCCTTTTTCCCAAGCCACCCTTGGTCCCCTGCACGCTGCAGTTCTATCAGGCAGTTGGAGAATTGGTGATGAATTTCTGTGGCATGAGGCTGTCTGTTTCGTAGGTGGATGAACACCTCGCTGTGTGTCCTGAAGCTGAACAAGACTGTCCTTTTAAGCACTATGGCTGTACTGTAAAGGTATGGAATGCCGTTTTGTTTCTGCCCCTACCTTCTACTGTATCGTTTATTTGGCGGGCTCATTTCACTCTTTGATTCCATTCAGGATGCAGAAGGACATTCACTTTGGAGAACTTTTAGACTGGCCATTTCAGTCAGGGTTCTCCAAAGAAACAGAACCAATGGGAGATACATACCTACATATACATATAGAGACTTATTTTAAGAAATTAGCTTATGTGACTGTGGGAACTGGTGAATCTGATTATTTGCAGAGCAGACCAACACTGGAAACTCAGGCTGGAGTTTCTATGTTGCAGTCTTAAGGAGAAGTGCTTCTTTTTTTTTTTTTTTAACGTTTATTTATTTTTGAGACAGAAAGAGAGAGAGTGAGAGACAGAGCATGAACGGGGGAGGGGCAGAGAGAGAGGGAGACACAGAGTCGGAAGCAGGCTCTAGGCTCTGAGCCCAGAGCCCGACGCGGGGCTCGAACTCATGGACCGCAAGATCGTGACCTGAGCTGAATTCGGACGCTTAACCGACTGAGCCACCCAGGCGCCCCGAGGAGAAGTGCTTCTTGAGGAAACCTTATTCTTTGCTCTTAAAAGGTGGTTGGATGAGGACTTCCCACATTACGTAGAGTAATCTGCTTTACTTAAAGTCAACTGATTTGTAAATGTTAATCTCAGCTACAAAAGTTCCTCACAGTAACATCTAGATTAGTTTTGACCAAACAACTGGGCACCGTAGCCTAGCCAAGCTGACACATAAAATTAACCATCATGGTAATTATTTCTAATTCAGACTCCACTGCCTCTACCAGATTTTGAGACTTTCTGGAGTGATCCTTCTGATGATTATAAATCTTGGTTTTATGGTACCCCTTCTATTACCACATATTTTGAGATGGAATTGATTTGAAATCATGTTTTAAAATGTATTGGGGTGCCTGGGTGGCTCAGTCAGTTAAGCATCCGACTTCGGCTCAGGTCATGATCTCGCATTTCACAGAGCCACACCGGGCTCTGTGCTGACAGCTCAGAGCCTGGAGCCTGCTTTGGATTCTGTGTCTCCCCCTCTCTCTGCCCCTCCCCTGCTTGTGCTATCTCTCAAAAAATGAATAAATGTTAAAAATATATATTTTTTAAATAAAAAAATAAAATGTATTTTATTATCTGTTAAACACCTTTAAAAATGTTATTTAATAAATTTATAAAATATACAAAGAAAAGAAAGTTTGCTTTCTACCTCATTTTAACAGATTCTTGATGGATC